GTCAATGTAGTATCTCTGACTCATATCCGGGTCGGGTACGGGTTTGGGGGTGTTACAAAAATAGTCTATAATATTTTCTTCCCTGGCAGAAGTTGACCTTCTTCGTCATATGCGGGCATGGTTTGAGACTTCACTATGGTTCCTGGGATAAATCGCTTCATTACTTGTAGCAAATGTGGTAGCTCATTGTACGATGTATCCCAATCTCCATACGTCAGCTTCATTGCCTTCATCTTCGCATTCCACACCTTGCCATATTTTACTTGATATCCAAATTGGCTTCGAATAGATGCAGCTAACACTGAACAAGATATCCTTGGATCATTTTCAACCATCGCCTTCACGTATTCACATATTACATCGGAGTCCAATAGTCGGTGGTCTTGTTAGATGAAGTTTCGCAAACACGTGTGCGAACCTTTGTACCTCGTGATGACCCAAACATCGTGCCTTTGATTTTTCGACACTCTGATCTTCCACTTGCACTCTAGGCCATATTTTACACACTTCGCGTATAGGGTTTTCTGGTTGGACTCTACAACATGGATATCAACATGGCATTTTATGCAGTACTCTTTAATCGCCAGGGTAGCTTCATTTTTTCCTCTGAATTGCACCCCAACTGAAAATTCACCAGAATTATCGAATGATGCAGTCATTTGGTATGGAGGTAAATGTGGCATGTCTGGGAATTCAGGTGCCCTCATCGCATCATAGTCTATCTCGTACATGTGAGGAGTAGCTTCATACGGTGCCGGAAATTCATCAATTGCACCTCCACCAAAAATATTTTCGTCGCCGCCCAAAACGGGTTCTTCGGTTTCTTCATCTTCGCTTGAATCATCATGAATTTCTCCCCATCGATTTTCAGCATCAATATCAACAACCAATTCCGGTATGTTTCTCGTCTCACACTCTTCTGTTGCAGATGTCCCCCGACTTCATTTACACTTTCCAATAGTGTCATAAAACTGTTCGGGAACCTGTATGTCGGCTCCTCAAACTGACTATATAAAGTCATTTCAGATGGATTTTGAGCCACACCTCTTGATGACCCAGGAACATCACATATGTTATGCACATCAACAAATAACTCAATAACTGCTATATTGGTTGACTCATGTAATCGAACCATGGTTCCAATATCATCATCTTCTTCAAGTGGAACTACATCATATTTGACTGGGTTGGGGCATATCATAAACCTATACCTCAAACCATCAACTGCAACTCGAATTTTTCTTTCTATCTTATGCTTCATTTCTATAAATGTGATGTCTTTTTTGAACATCATATTTATTGGTTTTTCAGACTGAAAAACTACTCCGATCTCATTTTCCATAATCTGTCCATTATAATGGACAATCGTGAAAAAGTTGTTGCTCATTTCATTTCCTTTATTGTTTCTTTCTTCGAATCAATATGTACGTGGAAAAATGTTGTGGAATAATGCTCTGTACGTGTAAAAAAAATTATTTCTTTAAACAACAATAAATTAAAAAAATTAAATTTATATAATCTAATATATTATAATATAACTTAAACTAATAAACTATTTCTTTATTATAATATAATTTAGTTAAAATAAAAACTAACAAACTAATTAAGCACTAATTAACTTTTTTAATATTTTAACTTAAACTTCAACAAACAACCTAATATACGTTTAAACACACTAACAAATTAATTAAATATTTTTTACATTTAATAACTTAAACTAAGAAACTAATTAACTAATTTTTTATATAATCTAATATATAACTTAAACTAACAAATTAATATAATATAACTTAAACTAACAAACTAATAATTTATACTAACAAACTAATTAACTAAATTTCTGTTTTATCCTAAACCCTAAACTAACAAACTAATTATTTCATAATTTTATATTAATAAACTAAATTAAACAATTAAAAATTACCTCACAAACCATGTTTGAGCCTTTATCTCCATTTCCTCTTCTTTTTCTTTTCCTTTCATTTCCTTTCTCTCGCCAAATTTTCTTTCTTTCTTATGATTCTACCCTAAACCCCTCATATCCAATATATATAATGATATTTCAACGGTTGGTAAGCTGCAATCAATTTGAGCTGTATAATTCACGTTGAAGGCTGTAAATTTTTCAACCGTTGAACGCTACAATAATACAACACTAATTACTGCATGCAACAGCTGATTTTATGTTGCACCAATACAGCTATGATAACAAGAGTGAACAGTCTCGAAGCTATGGCATGAGGGAGCAGCTATGGCTAGAAGCTAGGGCACGAAGCTATGACACTTTGCAGCTCAAATCATGCTGCAATAATACAGCTATTACAGTTGCATGCATGAGTCTCCTGAGCAGCTGCAAGTGGAGAGGATTGTATGGCTACCTATCCTGCATGGCCCAACGTTGGACGCCGGCGTGCATGGCGACCTGTATATGGCGACCTACCATCTTGGTCGCCGGGATTGCTTGGCGACCTACAAGGTCGCTGGGAGTGCATGGCGACCTTGTAAGTCGCTTGGAGTCCTTGGCGACCTATGGTTGGGTTGTGCATGTCCCATGCACGACACGATCCACGTCACGATCCTCGTCGGAAGCCACGTCGTAGGTCGCTCGGAAGGCATGGCGACCTACGACCAACTGTGCAATTCACCCTACTTCATCAATTAATCTTGGGAGAACGTTATTTCGTGAATTATTTATTTCCAAAGCATTATATCGTGAATTCACCCTCTCCCTTCACAACTAAAAAGAACTCTTCCTATACAGTTCGCTTTTCACGCTTACGAGTTCAAGAGATAAATCTCAAGCATTTCTCATAATCCAGTACATTGAAGAAGTACTTTAATGAATGAAGGTACTGCATATTCAAAGGACTAAAAAGAAAAGGAAATAAAGAACTCAAATAATTCGGTAATCTAAAGAATTTATCAAACTAAACGCCAGTCAATAATTAAAGAATAAAGAATCTGATTGCTATACGATCAAACACGATAAATGAAAACCGATAAACTGAATTGAAAAATGGAAACATAAATGAATAAATTAAAATTTAAAACTTACATGTTTACTCTGTGATGTGATTGGAGCAGTAGAGAGCCTCCGCCGATCAGGCAGTGATAGTATTAACCCAATAGCAATCTGGCGGCCCCACTATTTCTTTCTTTCTTTCTTTCTTCTTGTGCCGCCCCCACTATTAACCCAATGGTTTTTCCTTCTTTTTTCTTTCTTTTTTTCTCTCCTTCGTCCGATTGTCTCCAGAAGCTTCTTTATGGATGATTTCTCATTCTTTCAACTTCATATGGTTAGTTAAATTAAATTTCTAACCAATTGAATGAGCCCGACAATAATAATAATGTGGCAAGTGTAGTGTTCTATATGTGTAAACTACTCATGTGCTCATTAATTTTTGATTAAATAGAGATATTATATTTAGATAATTATCAGGATTTGAATTCACGTGACGTAAGGGAATAAAAACATTATTCATCATTCATCGATTAACGAATGCTCACAAATATTTAAGATATTGATTGAATCTCCTTCTTCAGTCAACCTCATCTTTTGCTACCATAACTATAGTTAAGTCACTAAATTGATTGAATCGTCACGACTATTCGTTCTGAAACGTGACTCACTTCATCAACAATTGATATAACATATGATATTTAGTCGAAATAATTCAATTTGATCATCAGAGGTTACATTAGTTATCAAAATGATCTGGAATAAATTAAACCTAAATTCATGTATCTCTATTTTTTTTTATTTAATCATCATTCATACATAGGCGGGAGCATTAAAAAAATAGAACATATATCAAAATGAGTAAACAGCCTAAAACGTGCTTTAAAACTAAGACAAACAAGTAATTACAGTCACAGAGGTAATTTCGTCATTTTATAACATGCTTTCATAAACCATGATAAATCACAAAATTAATTGAACCATGATATTATAAATCACTGAAAAATAGAACCATGAAAAAAAATTCACTTCAACCGGACTTCAAGAACAATGTGAATTGTACAGATATTGATCTTAGTGACTAAAGAATAATTCTTAATTGATTTTAGCAACGACTTGAAAAAAAAAATTATAGTTCATATATGAATTTATAATTATTACAAACCTATGATTGAATTTTCAATCCGACCTATGTCCGTCCCTGTGCTCTACAGCATGGGCCCGCTAGAAAACCCTCGTTTCGAATTATCACTCCTAACCATGCTCGATTTCAATTTTGTGAGAATTAGGCATCAAATCTTATTTCAAGTGTAGAAGATTCTTAAAGACTATGTTAACTATGGGAGCATCGTTCATTTTATTGATTACAATTTAGAAATAAATTCTATACGGTAAAAATGTCGATTTCATTGAACAAACTTATTTTTTATCTCTCAAAACTTGAGGTGTTCGGTGGGACCAACTATCAGAGGTGATCACAAAGAATTTTAATCTTCATTGAACAGTTTCACCTTGATTACGTCATGAATAAATTTCAACTCACACTAACAACTTTCGTTATCGTTCACTCCTTAGTTGTTGTCATTGACTTTTTCACTATTCGAGTTCCTATAAATAAATTCGAGAAAGACAATAAGAGAATATATCTTGAGTCACATGTCTAATAAATTTGTTATAGATGACGATATGAATTCATTGGAAAAAAAAGAAATACGGAACTGATGATACAAATATAAAATGACTCAATTTTTAGATGACGAATGAGAAACTCATTATAAACTAAGTTTATAATTACGAGATCAAACCCTATCAAATCAAATCAAAACCTAAAATAACGACGTTTAAAATTATCTAACCAAAATCAGATATAATTACCCCTTTAATAATTAAGTGTGAAAAAGTACTACCAATACAAGTTACATACCAATAAAAAAATAAAAAAAAATTGACATAACAAAATATTGAAATAACACACCGAGTAATAAATTAGATTAATTTAACAGATAAAACTGAAAGCCTTTTGGTGTTCAATTTCTTTTATAGTTTCTTGGCGTCTTCGAGTCATCATCCAGTGGCCAACCACATGAGAAGCGAGTGGGAGCAGGAGATTCAAGATTCCATATCTAAAATTTCGATTCTGATCTGAATCGAAGCTGGCAGATCCTTGAAACCCCCCTATTCCTTGCGATCCATTTAATTAAGATCTCAACAAGTCTGTTCCTTAATTTGTCGCTTTTGGAATTGGATGGCCTCCTGTGGGAATCCCAATCCGCAACCACAAAGCGGCGGAGGTGAAAGTGGCAGCGGTGGGTTCGATTTGAACAAGCTGTTCAAACCCAGTTCCAGCCCTATGCTGCAGCATCTTCAAAACACGAACGTAGTAGCAACTCCTCCAAGTCCAAGTACTAACACTACCAACCTTACTACATCCCCTTCTTTTCCGGCCCAATCCTCCACGCCGCCTCCACCGCCTTACTTGACGCCGTCCTCCTCTTACCCTCCTCCTACTGGGCCCTACCCTTTCCACCACCACTACCTCCCCTACCCTCCTCCTCCTCCTCAGCACCAACATCCCTTGCATCATAATCCGAATCCGCAACTGCTTAATACCAATAGACCCATTCCTTTTCAACCCCAACCCTCAGCACCCACCACTCCTACTTCAGGAAACGACATTTTAATGGCCTTTTTCGGCACTCAATCTCAGTTACAAGCTCCTGCGCCTCCCCCATCTGCTCCGCCTCTTAGTATGAATGTCAACCCATCTTCCCCTTCGTCTCCTTCACCTGCCCGACTGTTGAGTAGCAAACTCCCCAAGGGCAGGCATCTCCATGGAACCAATCTTCTTTATGATATTAATGCCAGGCTGCCCAGTGAAGTACAGCCCCAACTTGAGGTCACACCCATTACCAAGTATGCTTCTGATCCTGGCCTTGTTCTCGGTCGTCAGATTGCTGTCAATAGGAATTACATTTGTTACGGTCTCAAGCTTGGGAATATCCGTATCCTCAACATCAACACAGCCCTCAGATCCTTGCTTCGTGGGCACACTCAGGTATATCTATTTAATAAATACCTAGTTTTAATCAAGTTTTTATTTCAACCATCTTATTATCGGCTTAACTTTGTCATTTAATTTGTGTCTTCAAATGTAGAGAGTAACTGACATGGCTTTTTTTGACGAGGATGTCCACCTTTTGGCCAGGTACTCTTTTTTTTCCCTAGAATAGATTGACTTCATCTGTGTCATAAAAATGGGCATCTTTCATCTTCTGCAGTGCAAGTCTTGATGGCCGGATTTTTATATGGAAGATCAATGAAGGCCCTGATGTTGAAGATAAGCCGCAGATTTTTGGTAAAGTTGTTATTGCCATTCAGATTGTGGGGCAAGAAGAATCAAAGCATCCTCGAGTTTGTTGGCATCCTCACAAACAAGTAATGAAAATGGGTTTTTAATTTGTGTTATCAAATGGAGTAGTAACTGTTATGCCAAGTCTCTGTATTTCTTCTATAGGCTTGCTTTTCTGTCCATATTTTTTATTCCTTGTTGTAAATATTCAACAAATATTATCAAGCAGGAGATCTTGATGGTTGCTATTGGAAATCGTATTCTGAAAATTGATACAATGAAAGTTGGGAAGCTTGAAGGGTTTTCAGCAGAGGAACCTCTTAAGTGCTCTGTTGATAAGCTTATCGATGGAGTTCAGTTTGTTGGTAAACATGATGGTGAGATTACAGAGTTGTCAATGTGCCAATGGTTGACTACCCGTCTAGCTTCAGCTTCTGTAGATGGCACGGTTTGTATCAAATCTCTCTCATTTCCTGCTTTTGTGGTCTCTATTTTAGTTCTTAATAAAGTTGCTTCTGAAGGGGGAGAATCTGGAAATGAAAATTGAATAATGCAAATCAAGTACCTGATTGCCATATCTTGAACGCAGAAACCCTCTTTGAAGTGTAAACCTGATATGTTTTATTTCCATATAACATGATGGTTGTAACGATGCATTTTGAGCCATTTTAATGCATGTAAAAGATTTTTGTTTGTCAAAAGTGATTTTCTTATTATAACTATTCACTATTATTGATGTGGGAATATTGCGAATCAAGTACTTGACAGCTGTTGACCTTTTAATGCCCTTAAAACTAAAGATTTTGGTTTGACTTGGGTCAGTTCCATTAGGCTTGTATGCTTAGACTCAGTGTTCCGTTTGTATTCATTCTTCAATTAGGTACTGATATTTGTGGAAACTGTAAATTTCTGTGACAGGTGAAAATTTGGGATGACCGTAAGCCCTTACCACTTGTAGTGTTGAGACCACATGATGGACATCCTGTTAGCTCAGCAACATTCTTGACTGCTCCACATCGGCCCGATCATATTGTTCTTATCACAGGAGTAAGCTTCTTGTTTCTTTTCCTTTTTATAGAATGTTTCTATGGCCTTGTTAGGCTTATGAGATTTGATAGAAAATCACTTCTGCTTTTGTGCTAGTAATGTGGCATCAATTCTCTTTTCATTATGCTAAATCTCTGATTTGCTATAGGGCCCACTAAACCGTGAAGTGAAGATGTGGGCCTCTTCAAGTGAAGAAGGCTGGTTGTTGCCGAGTGATGGTGAATCATGGAAGTGTACCCAGACACTGGAATTGAGGTGTTCTGCTGAGTCTGAGGTTGACAATGCATTCTTTAATCAAGTTGTGGCGCTGCCCCATGCAGGCCTGTTTCTGCTTGCGAATGCGAAGAAGAATGCCATATATGCTGTACACATAGACTATGGGCCTTATCCCGCTGCTACTTGCATGAATTACATAGCCGAATTCACTGTCACAATGCCTATATTGAGTCTCACTGTAACAAGTGATAATTTGCCGGGTGGAGAATCTGTCCAAGTTTACTGTGTTCAAACACAGGCTATTCAGCAATATGCTTTGGAATTGTCTCAGTGCTTGCCACCACCCCTTGAAAAGACAGACTTGGATAAAACGGATTCCAATGCTACTCGTGTTTTTGATGCCATGAACTCTGATGGTTCTGCTTCTCTGGAATTGTCTCAGGGATATAAACCAACCGAAATGACTCAAAATTCCTCAGTTCCTTTGTCATCTATAAACTTAAGTAGCCCTGAAAACATGTCCAGCGGTCCACAAAAATCAGCTTCTTCAGAGGTGACATCCATGTCTGAGAGTGCTTTGTTTGGTATGGAAAATAAGACAAATGCTGAAAATATGCACACTGCATCACCTCCACTTCCATTAACTCCAAGGTTATCACGAAAGTCTTCTGGTTTCAGAAGTCCATCAAGTGCTGATCATGTTAACCACTCTGCACTTGATCATTCTGTTGACCATAAGGTGGACACGCTCAAAGAGAATAAGGTTGAAATGCCCTACATAGGTGATAACATGCAAAAAGGTGAAGATATTGTCCAAAATCACATTTCAAATGTTCCTGATCCTCATACAGTGTTCAAACACCCAACCCATCTAGTAACACCATCTGAGATATTGTCTAATGTATCTTCATCGACAGAGAATGCTCAGGTTAGTCAGGTTATTAATGAGGGGGAGGCAACAGTTGAAGATGTGGTCAAGAATGATGCTGAAAGAATAGAGGTAGATGACGAAGTTATTGGTGAGACAAGATTTTCTGAAACTAATGAAACCGAATGTCCACAAGGCTCCCATACTTCTGTTGCAGATAACAAAGAAAAGGCCTTCTACTCTCAGGCATCGGATCTTGGCATTCAGATGGCCAGAGATATTTGTGCAGAAAGTTATGATGTTGAGGGAGCTCAACAAGCTAATCACATGGGTGTTTCAGTTCAAGCTGATAGACTTACGAATTCTGGTGATGGGGGTGACCATAATGTAAATAAAGATTCCCCTCCAAAGGTTGGTGAAACAGACACTGCTGTCGCTGTTTCCCCATCTCCTGCTTCTGCTAAAGGGAAAAAGCAGAAAAAGAAAACTTCTCAAGTATCTATCCTTTCTTCCCCTTCAGCGAGCCCATATAATTCCACAGATTCATCTAATGAACCAGGGTGCAATTCCAGGGCTCTGTCAGCTGATGTTATTTTCCCTCAATTGTTGGCCATGCAGGATATGCTTGAGCAGGTATATTTTTTTCCCTAAAAAATACTACAAACAGCATTTTAAAGAAAGTATCATCTCTTTTAGAAAAAAAATTATTAAAGAATCTCCTCTCTATACACTCATGTTTGATTGTGTCTGATAACTTTTGTGATGTAATCTTCTTAATATAATGATTTTGTTGCACCAAGCAGCTTTTTGAAGAAAGTATAATTTCTTTTAGAAAAATATATTAAATTCTCCTCTCTATACACCTGTGTTTGATTGTGTCTGCTTACATTTGTGATATAATCTTCTTGATGTAATGATTTTGTTGCACCAAGCAGTCCCTTAGTGTGCAGAAGGAAATGCAGAAGCAGATGAACGCAATTGTCTCTGCTCCGGTTAACAAAGAAGGGAAAAGACTGGAAACATCCTTGGGCAGGAGCATTGAGAAAGTTGTAAAGGCAAATACAGATGCTTTGTGGGCTCGTCTCCAAGATCAAAATGCAAGACAAGAGAAGTTAGAAAGAGACCGCATGCAGCAGATAACAAATTTGGTCACCAACTGTATTAATAAGGACTTGCCAGCCATGTTTGAGAAATCCTTAAAGAAGGAGATAGCTGCAGTTGGCCCTGTGGTGGTTCGGGCTATTAGTCCCACTCTGGAGAAAAGTATATCTTCTGCCATTACAGAGTCATTCCAGGTAAATAAAGAAAGGTCAAATTGTGGTGACATATCAGATTGTTTGGTATCATATATGAGTGGAGTGTTCATTTATTTGGATTGATGCACCAGAATAATGTTAACAGTTGCCTCTTGGCACTGGTCAATGTGGTATTCATAGGAAAATTTTTGCTTTCAGTGTATTGTTTTCTCTTGAATTTGATGAAACTGGTGAACTGAAAAAAGCCTAAACACTAGATAGTTCTTTTTGGACTCGCAAATGCTGCATAGTAATTTAACTAGTCTTAGATATAGCTGATCTTATTATTGAAAATATGTTGTTAAGATTCCTTCTCTCTTGTCTTGTATTTACTTTGTTTCTGGGTAACAATTGGTGATGCCCAAATGTTTCTACACTATTTGTTGCTGTGGTAGCTTTCTTTCATCAAGCGGGTTCATTTTATGCTGGTGAATTTTCTCCTCTAACTGTAGTAAAATATGGTATAGAATTCCCTTATGTCACTAAAACTGTTGTAGTTATATTATGGGGGTTTTACTTGGGTAATTTACAGAAAGGAGTTGTAGAGAAGGCAGTGAACCATTTGGAGAAGTCAGTCAGTTCAAAACTTGAAGTGACATTGGCCAGGCAAATCCAAGCACAATTTCAAACTTCTGGAAAGCAAGCACTTCAGGTAATTTCTTGTTCATGCATCCCCTTTTTGTACTTATGTCGGTTGTTTTTTTCTACTTACATCGTTTTTATTTTCCTGTGTTCATTTGAACCTTCCCATGCATTTTCTCTTGCCCTCTTTGGCGCTTGAGAAGGAAAGATAAGTATTTATAGATGATTAAGGTTCATTTATATGAATTCAGGTCAGTTAGATTGGTGAATGTATTATTCTTTTGACAGATAAGCATTCAAATGTTTCAGTTGCATTTCTAAATGAAATTCACAACCTTTCACATGGCCTTTTACCTTTATTGTAAAATGCAATTACTTGTATTGTACAGTACCACCAAATTCAATCGATGAGCTGTACCCTACTTTTTTTTTTTTGATAGGAATAGGAAGCCTCGTTAAAAACCTCCCTCATAGTTGACCCTTTCCTAACAGAAAGGATCAAGTAGTGGAGGGAGGAAAAGAGTGCCTCATTTTATTACCAAACCGGAATTACATAAGACTTAACAATACAGCAGATGATTTTACATTAGACTTAACAACTTCAGCTACTTCAAAAACCTACAGCCATAGAAAAATAAACTATAACTAAAACATACAATCAACCAATCCCCTGCTTTGCTAAATGGATAAGCTTCCTTAATGGATTGGTAGAAGCACTTCACATGAAAATTTTTACTCCTATTTACCCTCTACTTTATGTTGACACAGGTGATTGAACTTACACTGCTCTTTATCTTTAGAACCCCTCAGATGAATGTCCAAAAACTATGCCGAGTTCTCTGGTTATTTCTTCTGGTTCTTTTATGTCTCTAAATTTCAATCTTTTTTGGATATCCCCCTCTATTAGTCATCCTCCCTGTCGACATTTTGCTGATCTTTTACTTTTTGGTTGGAATGTATGTCATATATCTTCCATTTGAACTCAAAAAATGTTCTGCTGATTAGAGAAATGCTGGATTTGTCTGCAGGATGCACTGAGGTCTAGCTTGGAAACTTATGTTGTTCCAGCATTCGAGATGTCATGCAAATCCATGTTTGAGCAAATTGATGTCACATTTCGAAAAGGGCTAAGAGAACACACAGCTACTGCTCAGCAGCAAGTTGAAAAATCACATTCTTCTGTTGTCGCTGCTCTACAGGTATGGTAGATTAGTGACTGTTCGGTGGTTTCTTGGATCATGACTTAATTCCCACTTTAATGTGTTAAAAATGTCAAAGGTGAGCTTTCTTGGTAGCGTAACCATCAATAAAATTTTTGAGAAAAAAATATCAACAAAATTAATTGAATATTCTTCTCATCTTTTATGGCCTTTACCAGTCTTCGTAAATGTTGTTGACTTGATTTCTTTTCTAGGATAAGTTGCAGGACAGGATTATTACCATTTGTTGATAGCTGTAGATTGACTGATGTTGCATAAATGAGTTTTATACATTGATTGAAATGGCATTAACTGAACATTTTTTCTGCAAAAAATCTGGTTGCCTGGTTAACCTTGTAAACTACCAAGTTAAGTTCTGAAGGTAGATTGACTGATGTTGCAGAAATGAGTTTTATACGTTGATTGAAGTGGCATTAACTGAACATTTTTTCTGCAAAATTCTGATTGCCTGGTTAACCTTGTAAACTACCAAGATAAGTTCTGAAGGTAGATTGACTGATGTTGCATAAATGAGTTTTATACGTTGATTGAAGTGGCATTAACTGAACATTTTTTCTGCAAAAATCTGGTTGCCTGGTTAACCTTGTAAACTACCAAGATAAGTTCTGAAGGTAGATTGACTGATGTTGCATAAATGAGTTTTATACGTTGATTGAAGTGGCATTAAGTGAACATTTTTTCTGCAAAAATCTGGTTGCCTGGTTAATCTTGTAAACTACCAAGATAAATTCTGAAGGTAGATATTTATGCCCAATATTAGGATTTGTTCTTGAACGGGAAATTTCTTAGAATATAGTATCATAGCCCGGTGCTTTTACACTGACATGCACAAAATTGAACCATAGAAAGATGGCCTTTAATTTTGGGTGAAGTATTGGCATTTTAGGGTACTAGACTTGTTTGGTCCCAAGAACTTCAGTAATGGATTGATTATACTGTTGTCGGCAGCCAAGTTAAATGATGTCTAATATGATGAAAATTACTAAGGCTGCTTTTTTACATCCATGTATTTAGACTTGGCTGGTACAACCAAGTCTTTTAGGATGACCTGCTTTCTGTTCGCAGGAAGCTATTAATTCTGCAGCTTCAATCACACAAACTTTAAGTGGAGAATTGGCAATTGGGCAACGAAAACTTCTAGCTATGGCAGCTGCAGGTGCCAACTCTAATGCAGGAAATCCCCTGGTGACACAATCAAGTAATGGACCATTGGCTCATCTGCACGAGATGGTATGTTTGCTTGCTCGCTCTGTTTCTCTCTCCAGAACTCTCAGTAAATAGAAAGGAAGAAGAAAATATCTGATGCGAGGACTAATGTATTATTTTATATATATTAGTCGCTATTCATGTTTATCTGCCTCACACCGACTGATATATGTTCTTTTTGTAGCAGCCGGAGGCACATATGGATCCAATGAAAGAGTTGGGAAGAATGATAGCTGAGAAGAAATATGATGAAGCATTCGCAGCAGCCCTGCACAGAAGTGATGTCTCCATAGTTTCCTGGTTGTGTTCTCAGGTAAGTTAACAACGGATGAATAAACGTACTCACTCTTATTCGTGATGACAATATTTTCCAGCAACCCTTGGTTGTACACAAGAAGAAAGCTGTTGTTTGAGACCTGGTCTGACAGTTGTTACTGTGAATTGAATTCACTAGGTCGATCTGCAAGGGATATTGTCTATGAAGCCATGCCCGCTTAGCCAAGGAGTATTGCTAGCTCTTTTCCAGCAACTGGCTTGTGATATCAATAAGGAAACAAGTAGAAAGCTGGCATGGATGACTGATGTAGCCGTGGCTATAGTCCCCTCAGATCCAACAATTTCCATGCATGTCGTACCAATCTTCGGACAGGTCTCTCAGATTATCGATCATCTACAATCCGTGTCGTCTGCATCCGCATCCGAATCCACCAGCATCCGCGTTCTTAAGTTTGTCATAAACAGTGTGTTGAGCTGTAAATGATTTTGTGCAAAACTTTGCAAGAATATCATACCTTGTCCTTTTTTCCCCATATATTTTCTCAAATAGAAATCTAGTTACAATGCAATGGGATGTGAGGATTATTAATGAATTCAGTTGGGTGTTTCAATTTGTGTGGAATAGCTGAGTTTATTTATTTTTATATCAATTTTTGGGTTTTTAATTTTTTTCGAGTTATATTTATTGAGTTTGAGGATTTTTTTAGTTTAGGCCCTTTTTTATTCTGGTTTCTGGGTTTCTATTTTGTTAAGGTTTGAGTTTTAGTTCAGGTTTGGATTTATTTAACATTACATGTAAATAGGTTTACATAGTTTAAATGTTTCTTTCAATAAAAATTGTCCTTTTTTAATTGTGTTTAGTAGTTTGAGTGATTACAAGATAGTATTTATTCAGAATCGCTTTTAATAATTGACATCGCATATATATCCTGCAGATGTAATTATTTGAACTCAAAACCTTTAGAAACAACGTCACTCCCATAAATAAATACTATTGTACTATGATATTTTTTTTTTATTAAAACCAATGTCATTGTTAGCATTAAAAAATGTAGAATTAATCTGTTATATCTAGTAAGTTAATTAGTTGCATTGAAAAGGATGTTATTCTCTATTTGAGATGGTTGTAAGAGACGGACAAATGATTTTATGTTAGGGGCGAATATATAAAATTTTAGAAGGATACAAACTTATAAAATTTTAAGAGATAAAAACATATTATAAATAAAAAATGCACAAAAAAATCAAACACATCCCCTCAGTCCATCCTTAGTCGTTGTGGCTCTTTCGATAGCATAATCTCCTTATTCTTATTTTGGATCCCTCAATTACTTATGCTTATGCGTAGAAACAAAGCACATGCTATATAATGAAACAAATACTAATAGCGATATGAATGCATTACATGGTTCTCCTCCATTACATCATAGTATTGTAAATCCTTCACATATCATGTGAGTTCATGCATCATTCCTTAAATCATGATATATCATGCTAGATTATGAGATTAAAATGATATTTTATATAAAGTTTAAGGGTCGAATTGATATTATATCTAAGTTTTAGGAATTAAATTAGTATTTTATTTAAAATTCAGATATCAGATTAAAAATTGACCCATTTTTATTAATGTTACGTCGTCAAACTAATAATATTACCGCTCTACTGATCAAAATATTATAAATTAATAACGTAAATGACTTTTTAAATTTGATTACCAAAACTGAACACTCATGAAACGAAAATGACGATAACCAAATATCTATTTGCCATCACTACTATTCGCCCACGATATCTATTTATTTGAATTTTAGGCTGACAAACAATCCACTAATGCAATAGTGTATTGAACTTGCTGTGCTGCTGTCTTCTCATTTGGCTTATATTCTGTTAATCATAATGTGAAACTTTAATGTTCATTTTCTCCTCCTTTTGATTTCCTTGCATCATATCAGACACCAGAAAACCTCTTTTTTGACCTAAGAAGACATAATCTTCTTCATTTTTCCTTTGAATAATATGGGGTGATAGTATATACTCATAACTTTCTTAACCTATTGACAATGCACACACGCCATGCAAGTACAACTATTCAAACCCAATAACACATAATCTTCATTTGTAAACTAAGGGGAAGAATTTTGATCTTTGATACAACTTATTCTAAACTTACTAATACAAAGTTCATTTCTACATGTCTTTGGAGAGAGAGGTAATGAAAATAAATTACACAGTATTAACAGCACTATAAACAATACTCCATATTTTAAAGTACCTACTATTGGTACCTACATACAATTATTATTATTTGGTTCCATTCTCTTGAAAGTAAAAAAAATGATAGAAAACAAAGATAGTAGTCAGCTTTGGTAGCGGCAGCTAATCATGGACGTTATCTATTGCCATGTCATGGGGCGGCAATCCCCTTCTTCACCAGCATATCGTAAACTCTGTCGATCTTGCTTGGTTCAATCTTGAATAAGCGATGAGCATCTGCTTTCTTACTGATGTTGCCATTGAAGATCTCTTCTGAAATGATCTGCAGCATCCTCAGATAAAGTGGCGGAGGCAACCGGATCTCACTGCACAGCCGCTTCTCCTGTCAACAATCCAACACAACCATCAATGGTTACGATTCGGTTAATAGCTCCAACCAAAATACAGTGAGGAGCACTCGCAGATTGCAAGCAAACTCCCACCTCAAGGCTAGACCCGTCAATGGGGGGGGGGGAGGGGGTCTGGTTGACTTTGGAATCAGTTCAATTCGGGTTTTAATTTTTTTTGGATAGTTTTGGGTTCGGGTTGCTTCAAGTTCCGGCCATATTAGGTTCATAAAATTTTAGGTAGGTCCGGTTCATTTGGGTTTTGCTAGTCAGGTTTTCTGAGACAGGTCATTTGGATTTTGTCAATCGAGTTTGATACTGGAGTTCGAGTCATTGTCAAATTACAACCATTTCGTGATCGGATTATTTATGGGTTCGGGTTCATGTAATTGACTTTAATGGTCAAGTCAAGTTGGTTGGGCTTGGATTTAGGTTAATATGGCCGGACTTTTGAGTTCAGATCAAAATTGACAAGTTTACTCGAGGCTTAGGGCTATACGGTTCGTTTGAAACACAGCATCAGATCAGATGAGAATATAGAGATTAGGGATATAACATACAGTTTCAGACAGTAACTGGGTTTCGGCAAATCCCATTATGTCCAAATCTTTAGCATAACTCGAAGAAGCCTGTGCTGTTGGCCTTGAATTTGAGTCCTTGCCAACCGACTCAGAAGCCATGAATGAGTTTGGGGCTGTCTGGCCACCTGGACCACCCTGGCTTCCATCTTTTGCTCGGTGAGAACTCTCTTCAGCTTCCCTTTTCCTCTTTTGTTCAAGATATCGGTCTGCCTCAGCTGATGTTCGACAACCAGCTGCTCGGGCTTCCTGCATATAGTTTTTTCAACCAGCAACAATAAGTGACCATATTATGAAGATTAGATATGTAAACAACGTAGAAGGTAGAAAATGTGGCCATGCAGCAATTCCAGGCATGAACAATACCTTGAGTTCTTCAATCCTTTTTAAAGTCCGGTGCTCAGCGATAACTGTCTGAAGCAATTCGTCATGTTCTTCCTTCGAATGAAAGCGCATGAACACGTCATAACGTCGGCAAAGTGCCCTCTCCTCGAGAGATAAGTCCTTCTCAAAAGGATTAGAATATAACAAATTTCTTTCTAGTATGAAATCCTTTCTGCGCTTCCTCTCATCCAGCCTGACAGTAGGTTCATTTCAAGCATGAGGCAGAGAAAAGTAGTGCACGTATCTTCCTATTAACTATAAGAAACGTTTTGTTTTTTTCCTGGATGAGAATTATACTGGGAAATCAATTCCAAATCCAAAAAGTATAGTCATAAGTCCTTCCTTAACCCTGAAACCTTTTCTATTCTATGCCATATTATTCTGATATGCTAATATGGGCTTTACTTCTTAACATCTTACAAGTTTACGCGTGGAATCAATTACCATTCCAGCATGAATCAGATTACCAGTTGCCTACCTCTTCGAATAGATACGCAACACTCGCAGCTTAAGCTCGCGCTCCTCCTCAGTATCAGTGTCTTTAAATTCCATCTCAGCTAGTAACTGCTCCGCATCATTGTCATACTCTGGATCGAACTCCTGCCTTTTGGCGTTATAACCACTCAACTCAACTAAAGATGGACCATCATTACCCGACGAATTTGGCTTCTTTCCCCCAAAATTTCTGTCAACTTGATGATCTAAAAGGCAATAATAACAATGAGCTATACTGGAATAATGGCTCATTATGTACATGTACAAAAACTACAAACAGCTCAGTGTCATATGGGCTATATATTTACCAGAATAATGAGAATTAAAGGGAACAGAGAGAAAGTAAAAGATATCAGACCTTCCATTTTAACATTGCCATCTTTAACCTGGGACATGTTTGATACCTTCATAACACCTCCCAATGGTGTACTGTTACTGTTAGAACGCACCCCGGACTCTACATCTGAAGTTTGTAGAAGAAAGGAAGCATGAGGATCACAGTGATCAGATTATTTGTGTACATACTAAAATAAAATAAAAATCTTCCGGACGGGAAAGAAAATGATATATAATCTCACCTGCATTTAATGCAGACAGTAATCGGCCACAACTACCACCTTCAACTCTGGGTAAATCAATAAAATTCACATAAGAAATAGCATAGATGCAAAGATGATACAAACAGAGAGGAGAATGATATTCATACTTGACTCTTGAAGGTGAAAAAAGAGATTCTTCTTTCACTGAAAGCTCCCCAAGCATGGGTCCTGAGATGCTCACAAAAAATTAGTGACAAGCATTTGCATTAACAGAAGGCAACAAATTATAATTAAGGAAACCAGCCTGCCTCAGACCATGTTCACTCTTTTTATCTTCTCTAGAGAGAATTTCCGGCCACATAAATGAAAGAAAGTTTCGAGCAAAAGGGAAAAGAAAATGAATCCAAGGCTTACTCCAAGTGGTCTAATCACCACTTTTAGGAGGTGTGTTCCCGCAAGGCTAGGTTCAGACTTCAGTCCCTAGCTCTTGCAAATTTCCCTTGGTTTCCAATATGCCTTGGAATTCCACAAAATAAAAAGGAAAGGGGGGGGAAGAATATAGAAAGGAGAATAACTAAAAAAATTTACCAACCTTTCTTGTCCTCAGTATGCCCTTTAGCCATTGCAAGAAGCTCTTTTCTATTTTTACCAACAACATGAGACATATCCTTTGAAGAAATAAAGTTGTCAAATCTTAACAATATTCATGAAAAGGCACAATTAATAAGGGATTTGATAGTTTTAAACTCTCATACCGGAAGAGGGAAGAACGGGGACTTCATATAAACATTAGTATAATGGTCAATGCACTTTTCTTTGCTCTTTGTGCCAACATGCTCAGCAACTTCTGTCCAGTTTCCAAGGCCATACATTTCAATTCCCTATAATTAGAAAAGACGACAGAAACAAGAGTGTTTCCTTGATCATTACACATATAAAATGCTGTAAAGAACAAATCAAGGAGGACCAAACATAAAATCTCTTCACTGCTTTAACAATGAGGACGAACATA